TGATCCATTGGAAGGTAAATTTAATACATCATAACTTTTTGCCCCTCAACACTTCGTTGTATATTCTCCACATGTCAGGATATTCTCTTGTATAACCACACTACAGACACATGCTTGAGTAAATTTAACCTAGAAATGGTATTTAATCTGCAATTCTTATTCCAGTTTTATCAGTTTACCCAGTAATAGCTTATAACCATTTTCCAGCCCCTTCAGTCTACCAGTTTGCAATCAGGTAGTATATTTACTTATCATTTCTCTTTAGCCTCCTTGAGTCTGGAATATTTCTTCCTTTCCTTTTATTTTATGACACCAACATTTCATTTTTGAAAAATACCTCTTTCCCTTCTACCCTTTTTTAACAGTGTTCTTCATTTTGGGTTTATTAGATTATTTTTTCATGACTAGATTCAGATTATGCATTCTTAGTGTTTTTTTAGTATATAATATTTGGAGGCATATGATGTCCACCTGCTCCTCATTAGTGATGTTAATTTTGGCAAGCAGGTAAAAATGTTTCCTGATTTTCTCCCCCTGGCAATTTATGCTGATAATTACTGTGTATCAGCTTGGTCCTGTCTTTTCAATCTTGCTTAATTGAAGGCATTAGGTTTCGTCTAGATGATCTGACCACTATCATCTGAATATACTGATTGACTCAGATTGGCTAGTGATAATCTTTAGGAACGCTTGGTGACTTATGCAGTAGATGTAGTAGACCCTAAGCTCACAAAGTCAAAACTCAAGAAGGGATATTTGGTCTCAACTTGAAAGAGTTGAATTGCATCACTGAAAAAGTTAACTATTTCAGATATTTTCACTAGCTTTATCAAATTTGGACCAAATGATTGCCAAGTTAACTATATGGTTAGTATTACAGTATTATTGGGACCTTCTGTAACTCTTTTCTGAAAACTTTGTTTTTATGGTGCTGTCGATTGAACCCAGGGCCTTGCTCATGCTGAGCAAGCACTCTACCACTGAGCTACATCTTCAGCCTTCTTTGGTCCTTAAAGCTGTTAAACCAAGGCAGTGTTTGTACTGATATATGTGTTAAACTGGCTCACAGATTGTAGAGAAAGAAAACTCAGCTAAGGCCCTATTGAATGATGTTAAATAACGTATTTACTATATTTATTGTCAGTGTCTAATATGCTCAAATATGTCATTAACACAAGTTAGATGTGTTTAAGAACTGGAGGACTATTGGATGTGTTTCTTCAGCATCATTAGCTGTTTGTCTCTTGTTTTAGGTAGACTATAGTAATACCTACAAGACTGTAAAAACCCAGAGCTGCATCCACCTTCTCAGTGAGGCCCATCTGTTAGTAAGAGCTGCCCTGATGGATACCTGTCAGCTGCAACCTGGAGAGAAAGCAGAGCTTTTGGAAGCCTTTAAAGAAAGCTGTGGGCACCTTGGAGACTGTTACAGCAGGTTGTTAATGCTCCTTAGAGCCTTGTTACAGAAGCCATCTTGCATTTCAGATTTTTTTTTTTATCTGATATTATAAATAGGGGAACAGGTGAAGGGAGGTGGTTTTTGGTTTTTTGGGGGTTTTTTTGTTTTTTGTTTTTTTTTTTGGTACTGGGGATTGAACTCGGGACCTTGCACTTGCGAGGCAGGTGGCGGAACTACTGAGCTAAATCCCCAGCCCAGGAGGTGGTTTGTTTATTCACTTATTTCATAAGCATTTATTGAACACATACTGTGTACCATGCACTGTTCTGGGCTTAGAGACACAAATGACTGACCCATTCCTGTCTTGAGTCACCATTTGTTAGAAGAGCAGTCTCAAGTGCATCACTGTCCTGCCGCTTAACTTCGGAATTGGAAGGTTTTTTTAGGCCTTCAGGTGCCACCCCCCCCTCCCCCCGTTACCAGTGAAAAAATCTCTCAGTCCTATTACTTCTTTATCATCTGTTAGCTTAAAGTGTAGGTGTCATTTGGACAGTCCATGATTTTAATCTTAGTAGTTAGTGCTTTTATGATGTCAGAAAGAGACACTAGAGTGAATTAACAATTTTTGTTTTTGAGAATGTTGTTTACAGATTTTTTTACGTATGTTTCAGAGGCTTTCTTGACCTATGTGAATGATTGTAATTTAATAAAACAGACTTTTTCTAATAATGGTAACACCATTATTTTAGAGCCACGTCATGAATATTAAAATTCACTTAATGAATTAGTCTTTTTCTATATTTATTATAAACATACCAAAAGAAACTGCATCAATTAAATGACTTGAAAAATAAAACAGGCATTTATTCCAGTTACTAATGGCACTACAGAAGTATTTTGAGATTTATGTTTCTAGAAAGTATGATCTGTTTTATTATTAGCTATGTGAAATATAAAGATTTAAAATTTACAAACTTGAGGGATTTTGTTTCCTTCCCTTTAGGCTTGACACCCAGCATTCCCACCTCGCCTTGCCATACTATAAGATGTCTGGTTTGTCTCTGGCTGAAGTTTTGACCCGTGTGGATTGGGCAGCAGAGTATGAATCACAGAAATATGAGAGGGGATTGATCTTTTATATTAATCATTCACTTTGTGAAAACCTGGATGAAGAATTAAGTGAAGTGAATATTGTTTCTTAGTTACAACTAATATTTTTAACTCATTTTATTAATTTATTCTATATCATATTATTTGGAAGTCAATTTCAACTATTTTCATCTTTGTTATTCTTTTTCTCAAAAAAACTAACATGCCATTTTCCTTATTAATGATTACAGAGCCTGTGGATCCTTTTCTTGCCTAGTGACAGTAGCATGGGTTCTGGAATGTGGTCCTTGCCTTCCTTTCCATTTGCAGTCCTGCCCCCAACTCCGGTGCCCCTGTTCTCCAGATGTCCAAAGCAACTTAGAAAACCTTGGCCCAGTGACTTTAAAACATTAAAGAGTATTTTTAGTGCCTTATGTATATTAAATATAGCTGGAAATTGTAATATCAAATGCTTTGGAGAAAAAAGTTTTCTCATATAGATTACTTCACTGGGTATATTTTGAACTAAGTTGTTTTTCTAAAGTGTAATTTATTGAAATACTTATTTTTTTTCTGAATTTCTGTTAAAATAAGAAATGTTGGTCACAACCTGGTACATATTTCCACTGCTTTTTCTTCATTATTATTCAGCAGAGAGATCATGTCAGGTCATCTCAGATCTCTCATGTATCCAAATCAACTCATTTTTAATCAAAACGTGGTACTATAATTTTATCTTTAATTATAATGTTTGTATCTTATGTCTTTGGGTGTCTGTGAATATTCAATTTTGATTTCTTTTGGCTGATATGCCTTTTATTCTTTGTTCTTGCTCATCAAAGGAATTAGCAGCAAAAGTGGTTCAGATGTTTCACGTAGCTGAGCCGAAACAATTGCCCCATATTCTCTGTAGTCCTTCTGTGAAGAACGTGAATCCCTTAACTGCCTTGAGCTGTCTAAGGAAACTGGATACCCGTGGACTCTCCTCAGTCTTAGTGACACTGACAAAAGCAGCACTGGCTCTAAAGATGGGAGATCTTGACATGCATAGAAGTGAAATGAAAAGTCATTCAGAGGTATGGTGCTCTGCCTGTTGTCAACAACAGGAGGATACAGGAGGCTGAAATCCAGAGGAGTTTTGGCTTTTTATAGCTCATGCTTTCTTGCTGTAATGGGGAATCGACTTAATATTAGACAGAAAGTGATCCAAGTGGGACTTTGGATCTGACAAATGAAAAAGAAGTAAAACTGATAAATGACAGCAGTGGATAGTAAGAGATCTTTCAATTTAGTGTGAAGTACATTCAGCACACTTGTTGGTACTAAGAATATACAGGCTCTGCCCAGAGCCAACAATCTGATCTGGCATGAGAAATATGGTATATTCACTGAAGAGAGCGCAGAGTGATGTGTACTCAAATATATGCTTGTAAGCCTTATTAGTCATCTAGTAGATATCACAGGTGACTTTACAGAAGATTGGACATTTGAATGGTGTATCAAAGGAAAAAGGGTCATTTCCCTTGGAAAAGAAAGCCTTTAGGGACATGAATCAAAGATGTTAATCATTTAAGGAAAGAAAATTGGAAATAATGTTGTTTGAGCTTTTTTTGTATCCTGAGGCTATGCTAGGCCCCTTGCATATGTTAACTTCTTTAATTCTTACAGTAATGCTATGAGGTAGATATATTATGACTATTATGCAGATGAGGCAGGAAATAGACAGAAAGCTTAACTTGTCCCTGATCTCACAGTTGGCAAGTGGGAGGGCCATAGCTTGCTTTCAGAATCTGTGTCCTATACTGATATTTTTGTTGCCTAAATGTCAGATGCCCACAGTAAAACTGTGGCTGTAAAGTAAAAGCTGAAATGCTTTATTACTTTGCAAGTGACATGCTGTATTATAATAAGAGAACATGTCAGCATCGGAGCATCTGCTTTAAAGAGTCCTGGAAAAAAATTAATTTTCTTTCTGTAAGTTCCTTAAGTTTGCAAAAAACTTTTTTTTTCAAACTGAATTGAACTAAATCTAAGGCTCTCTACAAAAATTGAACATCTTGATGTTTACTTAAATATTAATAACTTCTGTCAGGCAGTTAATAATGTCCTGCTTAAGGTTCATAAACTAGTCTTTATTTTAAAAATGTGATTTTAATTAAATTATTAACCCTGAATCCCAAATGCATGAGGATATACCTGTGAGAGGATAATCTGAATGCAGTGTACACTTCTTTTCTAAATTTTTTTTTTTTATCGGAAGATGAAGTTGGTATGTGGCTTCATTCTGGAACCTCGGCTACTGATTCAACAGAGGAAGAGACAGATTGTTCCAACGGAGCTTGCAGTTCACTTGAAGGAGACTCAGCCTGGATTGCTTGTGGCTGCAGTCCTGGGTTTACAGAAGAATAACAAAATTGGAATTGAAGAGGCGGATTCTTTCTTTAAGGTTTGTCACATTAAAAATGTAATTTTTCTGAGTAGCTTGATAAAAATCAGTGGAAACGCAGGGAGAACAATAAGAAGTGAGATTTTTATTTCTTTATTGAAAAAACTGGCTTACACATAAGTAACATAAAAGTACAAATACAGAATATTTCTGGAGAAACTCTATTCATGCAACCATGCAACCAACAACTATTTCTTCTTAAGAATGTCTAAGTTTGTTTTTGCCATGGTACTAAAGCATTATTTTCACGGCCCACTTGATGGTGTGGTATTCAGTCTAGCTATAATTTGATCAGTGCTGTATTTATTTGGGACACAAGGGCTGTTTTTCTGTTTTTAAGGTGCTCTGTGGTAAGGATGAAGATACGATTCCTCAGCTCTTGGTAGACTTTTGGGAAGCGCAGCTGGTGGCCTGTCTCCCAGATGTGGTACTTCAGGAGCTCTGTTACAAGCTCATATCACAGTACACCTGGAGATTATCTAAGAGACAACTTCCTGATACCACACCCTTGAGAACATCAGAGGATCTGGTAAGATAATAGAATGATATTTTAAATTAAACTAATACATTATAGATTACAATAATCTGTCTTATTGTTAATGAGTTGGAATTGAACCTAGTTTTCTGTTACAAATATCTTACTTAAGCTATAGTTAAAAATACACCTAATACTTGTCTATTACCAAAATTGCCCATATTTAAGTAATTTTAAGTTCTGAAGAATGCCTCATATTTCTCCTGTGTTACTTATTCACAATAATAATACCTCAGTATTCAAAGCATGTGGAAAGGACACCACCATGTCTGTACTTCCTCAGCAGAGGATTGATAAGGAGAACATGAGAGAAGAGACTGCTACTACCCTCCCAGATGGGAGAAGAACTTCAGAAAGCTAGTTGGCAGGGAGGCTGCCCCAGAGGGCATACATTTCCTGTCAGCTGCCCACAAAAGAACAGTTCTTTAGCATTACATAATCACCTTTTCTACTCTTCTTGCTCCCTTTTCCTTTTTCAGCCTTTTGCCTCTCATGGCTGCCACCATACCTAATATGAGTTAACTGAAAAGGTTGCTAGCTTCTTAAATAAGGGTTGGTCCATGGGAATTGTCTTGAACTGATGGAAGACATTTTGCCTCCCAAATGAAATAGTATAAATAAAAACTATTTCCAGCATTACTGTTAAGTCTTTTTGAGTATAATTAGCTTATAAGCAATATGGCTCTTTTTGTTAGAAAGTACTTGATTGGAATATTTTAAATTTTAAAATATAAGCAAATATTTAGTGCAGATTTTGAGAGGCAGAAACAAGGCTGAACCTCTAGAGTAATACATCTGAAAGACTTCCTATTGCTAGGACAGTGTATACCTGATTCTGTGATGTGGCAGAGGATTAATGATTGCTTACCTTTTGTGAATGAGTGTGGAGAATTTGTTATTGTTACTATATTTTGTTTATGATACTTTCCTTTTATTTTGTAGATAAATGCCTGTAGTCATTATGGCTTAATCTATCCCTGGGTTCATGTTTTAATATCATCTGATTCCTTAGCCAATAAAAATTATACAGAAGACCTTTCAAAATTACAGGTAAATAAGATGCCATTTTTTGATTTAGGATTGGTAAAAATCAAGTGCACTGTTAATCTAGGATGTATCATTTTCGGGGGCAAAGTCTGTTGTTAGGCATACTTAAGAGCTTTGTTGGAAATGGGTGCCTCTGCCTGGAGCTGCTGATGGGGTGTGTGTGAGCTGAGAGGCCAGCCTCACTGAGGTAAGTGGGCAGGCTGTACCAGGTTACGTGACCATTGTCATCGTTTTCAGGATGTGTTTGAAAACACTTTGTGAAATTAAAGTGTAGCAAGTGTGTAGTGGTGTTCTTAACTGATGTGTGTGTGTGTGTGTGTGTGTGTGTGTCTCTGTGTGTGTTAACATAATGTAGACCTTTAAACCAAGCCAACCACATATGATTGGTTGTATCCTATTAGGAAGACAGGTCGAAGTAGCCAGCTTATCTGGCTTCTTCTACCAAAGATTTTCAAAAAATAGTGAAGTATAATTAGAGGATTTAAATCATCCTGTTCTGACCAGGGTGACAATGAGAAAGCCTGCATTTGACTTGGTGGATTATGCTTGGCTTAACTGTGCATATGATTTTATTTAATGTAGCTCAGTAGCCCAATGACTGAATATTGTTTCCACATTTGTTTTGTTTGGTCTGCCTAATATAGCTGACAATATGTAAAAATTAGAATTTTGTGTCAAGAATTGTGGTTTTCAAGGCCCTCAAAATTCGCACCAGAGCTGGCAACCTGAGACCTTTATTGCTTCTGAGACCTGGGGGCTGGAGCCGACCAGTGGCCCCTCGTGGGCAAGGCTCATGCCATCTCGTCAGCACAGCTCTCAGTTTGCTGTTGTCTAGCCTGGAGGCTGAGTGGCTCATGTCTATTTTTCTTATACTCAACTGCCTGTATGCATTTTCATTCTGAGTTTGTAGTCCCTGACTTAAACTTTAGCAACATTATTGCTTCTGGAACCAGATGCCAAATTGGGGGTGAGCTTTGAGGTAGAAAGCTTAAGAGGCCTTGTTGCTTAGACTCAGCTTCCAGACAGGACTGCGTTGTCCTCAGAGATGGAGTTATTTACATTTGTCTTTGACAAATCACCAATGAAGATTCTTGTTATCTAGTACGTTTTTGATGCAGAGGCTTCTAAGGGCTTAGCCTTTGATGTGTTCATTTTACAAATATTGCTTGAGCATTGACTGGAAATCATGTGGACAACAATGGACTCTGCCCCTTCTCCCAGAACATTACATAGTAATGACATATTTAAAATTGGAATAAGTGCCATTTTAAATTTCCACTGTGAAGTTGTAAATCATATTTTTTTTCTAAAGCATATTTATAATCATTGTGTGGAAAAGTATAATTTAGTGATCTTTTAAAATCCATTTAAAAGTATTTTAAAAGGGTACATTCTTCCTGAGAATCTTTGCTATTAAAGGATAGAAATGTTGCTGGGTGTGATGGTATACACCTGTAATCTCAGCACTCTAGGAGGCTGAGGCAGGAGGATCACAGAGAGCCTGGACTCCAGTACCGAAAGAAAAAGAAAGGATAGAAATATCAAAGTAAACTTTTAAAAATTATTTTTCTAATTATAGCTTTTTCTGTATTATCTCTGTGTTAGTCTTAATCATTAAGAAGAAAATAAGTATCAAAAAACAAGATTTCACCTAGAGAAATGGGGAAATTCAGAATCACCTAGAGAGCTTTTCCAAAATTGTGTAACTGTCCTCTCCTCCCCTCCCCACAGATTTGATATGAATGTCTTTTTTCCTCAAATATTTTAAGATTATATTTGTGCTATAAGTAAGATCTATAAATCATTTATATAGCCAAAAGCTGCTATTTGGAAGATTATAGTAAATATCCTGCTCTTTGCCAAAATTATCGTGGTTCTCATCCTACCTACCCCCATGTCCTTGCCAACCATCTTTCCTTAAAAACACAGTTATGATTGTCTAGACAGAGAAGACAGATCTGTGCATTGCAGCCCTGCAGACTCAGGACTGAGGATGAGGGTGGATGGAGAAGGGAATAAATAGTGCATTTGTTGGGTTTGGAGAGGAGTCCATTTCCAATATTGAAAGAAAATGGAGTACTCTAAGAAACAGACTACATTAACAGTATTTCAAAGAATAACAGTAATCTTTGGACCACTCTTCAGCTGGTGAAATATGTGCTGTTTAGTGTTTCTCAGCTATAGTAGTCATTATCAAACTTTTAATTATATGTATAAAACTAAGTAAATGCTCTTAAGTAATCCATTTTGTACCAAGTAGTGACTCATTTCCATTTTTCACTGGGTTTGGTGCCCTTTTCCTTCCTGCCTCACCCATTTTTCCAATAGATCAAGGGTAGCTATAGAAATAATCTGTTTTCTTTCTTGTTGGGAGATCCTGTGAATGGGAGATTATCACTTTTTTTCACTTTTGCCATCTTACTGTCAGGAACTTATGAAGATGAATAATTTGTTAAACTGCTGAAAGAACAGATACCAACCTTATTCTCCTGGCTATTCCTTGATAGACATTTGGAATAAGATAATCATGCTGACTGTGAATAGATAGTTCATGTTCCATGTCCTCCTGTAAGTCTGAGAACATGCTGTAGCAAAAAAGATACAGGGAAAAGAATCCAAGATATGACTGTCTGTCTTATAGGTGAAAGGGAAAATGATTATTTTTGTGTAGAATCAATACTATATACAAATTAAAGTAAAATACTATTAAAGTTGCTTAAAAGTATAATACTAGTGAAGATCTACGTACTGAAATAATGGCTGTTCCTTGTCATTCAGCAAATGAGGTAAAGAGTATTGGTAAAAACAACAGTGTTAGTTTTTTTAAATATTAAATTTTTTGGTTGTATACATAGTACATGCTCATGGAACATTTGGAAAATACAGAAAAGTATGAAAAGAAAACCAAAAAATGGGCTTTGTCCTTCTATCCAGTGAGCTAATCTGTTTCAAATGTAGTTCTCTTCCAGAAGTATTTCTTTATGTGAATATATCTGCATGGATTTTATTAAAGTGATCATACACTAAATATAATTTTGTATTTCAATTTTTTACTCATCATTTTATCACATTTTTTTCTTAACTGGCCTTTGAAAACATAATTTTGATGACTGTTATATCCCATCATATGAATGTACTATAATTTATTTAACTCATTTAACTTAAATGTTTGAACATTCAAACAACTTCTGATTTTTCAATATTCTTATGATGAACATCGGAGATAAATCTTTGACTACCACATATTGATTATTTCTTTAAGATAGAATTTTAAAGAATTTCCATTAGTTTTAATTTGCAGTCCATCCAAAACAAATGAAATATTTTTAAATGATTATTTCTATTAAACATCTTTATTTCTTTAAACTAGAGATGGATGAGTTAAAGATTATTTAATACTTCAGTCCTCTCAGTGCTACAAAAAAAAAGTGTTCTAAAATTGCAGTGTTTGTTGTTTTTGTTTTTGTCTTTGCAAGTGAGGGTTAGTTGGGTTTTTTTTAATGTATGCTACATTGTGTGTTTTAGTTTTCAGATGCTTCATTCCCTGACCTATCACTTTTCTGTTCATAGTCTCTTATATGTGGTCCTTCATTTGACATAGCTTCCATTGTTCCCTTCTTGGAGCCACTCTCAGAAGACACTGTTGCTGGCCTCAGTGTCCATGTTCTGTGTCGTACCCGTCTCAAAGAATACGAACAGTGCATAGACACACTGTTAGAGAGATGTCCAGAGGCGGTCATTCCATATGCTAATCATGAGCTGAAAGAAGAGAACCGGGTATGCTTTTTGAATTACGTTTTTAGGCTTGTTCAGTGACTATCAGATTTGATACTCTTGTTACTTTATAAAATGGGAATGATTTATGCCAATCCAACTTTACAAAACTGTGTGGATCCAGTGAATATATATATACTTAATGTTATATGTTTTGAGTACTGTTAATGCTATTAAAATGCATGGTGATGACATGTTACCATCTTTAAAAATTTTTTGGGGGGGATTGTGGTAGCTTTCCCATTACTGCATCTCTGATTCCCTAGAGTTTCCTGCACCTTCAGTTTTCCTTTCAGAGCTTCATGCATTGTCCTCTCAAAGACTCCTTGCCTGGCCTCCCAGCACTTTCTCTGTAATCTGGGTGGACATCTCCCTGACTACACAACTCTTGCATTCTGCACACCAGTAAAACCACCATCGTGTGGTGATACTGCCAAGGTCTACTATAAGAAGGAGCAGTAACCAGATTCCCTTAGACCATCATGGCAGGAACAGCCTCTGAGTGCCTGGATATCTGAGCACAGTGAAATTAATTCTGGGGAACCAATTCCCTCGGAGGCTTCTCTTGAACAGGGGTCATAGAGACTCTTGTCAAATGAAAAGTTTATACTTTTGTATCCTGAGCCTACAATTTCTGAGATGACCTCAAGGCATCTATCTTCTTGTCCCCAGAGTACTTAGTTTCATTTCGTTATTTTTTAAGAGTAGAAAGAATTTATTGAGAGAAAGATAGCTTTTGCCTAAGAGAGACAAAGGGGCCCAGAAAGTGTGTTCCCCTAAAGTGGGTTGTCCCCACTTAGTGTCTTTTTTAATGGTGCTAATCTCTTCAGCAACTACACCATCTTTAGCCCCAACTTTACTTACATATGCTTCCTTTTGGGCCAGAATTTAAGATTTTTCCAATTTTTCTGATCTGCTTTTTGCCTGTGATTATCTCTATAAGTCTGGCTAAAAGCAGCCAGCAGTAACCATGTCACAGCCTGAACTTTAGACTGTCCTGAAATTTCCTCTCCAAGCAATTAGTCTGCCGCCTTTACCTTCAGTTTCCCACAGTCAAAAGATGGGTGAAGTATAGATAAATTTTCTGCCAGACTATAATATACATGGCTTCTAGTCCAATTGCTCATAAAATCCTTGCTTGACACTGAAAACTCCTGGCCTTTACAGACTATTCTTCTAAGCTCTGACTAGAATTGCCCATCAGACTATGCTTGAGGCATTTTAGGCTTTCTTCAGCCCACTTCTTCAAACTGCTCTGCAAACCAGTTCTAAAGGCTTCTGAGCAACATGGTCATGTCTGGTTAGAGTGATTACCCCACTTCTCTAGTACCAGTTTTTTATATTGTTAGCTTTCCCAAAGCTGGGACACAAGACCCAACAACCACAACTTAAAAGAGGAGAGGTTTAGTTTGGCTTGTGGTTTCCAGGTTTTCAGTCCATGGTTGGCTGGCCCCAAGGCAGTAACATCATGGTAGAAAAGGGGAATGGGAGAACAAATCTGCTTAGTTTATTGTGGCTGGGAAACAGAGCAAGGGAGCAGTGCCAGGAAGGAAAAGGTGAGGAACCATATATAGATCTCAGGGTCACACCACTGTGACCCACCTTGACACACTCAGAAGTGTACTTTACTAATCACCCAGGAGGGTCTCAGACCAATCAAGTTGATAGTCCACCTTCACTGTCACAAAGGTAATAACTTAAAAATTTAGGAAATATAATATATAATATTTTCTATATTATGTGGTGTTTAGTTTAGAAATTAGCAGGTTTTAAACTGTAGTATTTTTTCTTCTTTCCTGCTTGCCACCTAAGATATGATAGCAGGACATGCATATTTCTTCTTCAAAATAGCCATGTACATATATGTATTCCAGGTTACAAACTTTACTTTTGTTTCAGTTTATGCAGAAGACTGGGTGCTAGTATTACTTCTGTTTAATGAAGTTGAATGCTTTAACCAAATGATGTATTTTTGCTCTTTGCTTTCCTTCATGGTCTTCTCATAGGAGAGCTGAGTGTAAAACACATCAAACTAAAATTTGTTTATTTTTTCCTAAGACAGACTCTATGGTGGAAAAAACTTCTACCTGAACTTTGTCAGAGAATAAAGTGTGGTGGAGAGAAGTATCAGTTTTACCTGTCATCATTAAAAGGTAAAATTATTTTTTGATTATGAATTTAAATTTTAGACTTGCTGGGGCCTTGCTTTCTCTAATTTTTTCATGTGACTCTCAAGTGAGATGAAGAGGCCTTACAGAATCATCTGTAGAGCTTACTTCCAGCATCTGATGCCCCCTGCCCAAATGTGAGAATTCCTTTATCTTTTCTGGTCACAGAGCTGACACTCTTTTAAGGTAATATTTTCAAACACTTAACAAATTATCATAGGCATAGAAACTCACAGCCTCAATATTTTAAACATTTGTGTAGCCATTATGATAATTATATCTTTTATGAATGCGCTCAATGCTTAATTTACTTCAGGTAGGAATTTATTAAGATTATGAGTATTAAGCATCATTGTAGATATTAAAGAATAAGTTCTTTAAGAATTAAAAAAGTTGAAAGTCTAAATTGTAAGGTTTTTTTACAGCATAGGTAATTATTTGAGTCAGGCCTTATTTAGGTTCTTTTTCTTTTTTGATACTGGGGATCGAACTCAGAATCTTGCGCTTTCAAGGCAGGCACGGCACCACTGAGCTAAATCCCCAGCCCAGCATAGGTAGTTATTTGAATTTTCATAATTCTTAGTCATTTACCAGTCTTGATAGATACGTCATTTTCATTTTCTGTGTTGTTGTATGTTAATATTGCTAGTTAATTGTTGGCCTGATGACAGAGAGCATGGGTACATTCATTGCAGCACACATAAAATATTAGAAACTGGCAGTATTGGGTGGAATTGTATTTTCCAGTTGAGAGAATAGGTTTTTAAATATTAGGCAGAGCCAATGACCATTGAAGAACTGGAGTTCCATTTCTCAAGAGATCTTCCTATTAGTAGCTGTAGTACATTGAGAAGAGCCCAGAATGGGAGTCTGGATGATTAGAACTGAGCTCTAGGTGTGCCACTTATTAAACAACCTGGAACAAGCCAGTTTTTTAATATGTTTGATCTAATGAGATGTTCAGGACTCACTCTAGAGCAAAATATTGGGCAAAAAAAGAAGGTAAGGTTGGAGATGGTGGTTAGAAACATAGAATATGTTTAGGAACTTGGATTTCTTATGTCTCTAATGCAACATTTCCCAACCTTTACAGTTTGGCAGTTGGAAAATTGTCCAGGTATGGGAAAGCTTCCTGTATTACAATGTTAAAGGGCATCTTTGACTTCTACCTGCTAGATCCCAGTAGCGCTGCCCAGGTTATGACAGATAAAAATATTTCCAGACACTGGCAGATTGTCCCCCAGGGGACAAAAGTGTCTTAGCTGAGAACCACTGCACTAATGTGAAATGGGTTAGTGGATGGCTTATTTAAAGGAAGTGTTTGTTACTGACTTTGTAATAATGAACTGTGATTTTTTTTTAAAGTTATAATATGGTAAATAACAAAAATAAGATTTTAAAAGTCATTTTAAATCCTACTAGCTGGACATAGCTATTTTTACCAATTGATAATGCTAGACAATTTTAAACTTGGATATTTATATTATAAGTCATTCCTGGTTAACTTCTAGATTTGGGTAGCTGTTAAGTGATTAGGCAAATTATTTTAATCTTTTCTTAACCTTAATTTTCCCAACTATAAATCAGGCACATTACCTACTACTATAATCTCTTTAGAATGTGGCTTAGATTAAATCAATCAA